TTTTAAATAATTGAGATCCGTCATTTTATGTTTTGTGCTTAAGTGACTCGCCTGGAAGATTGGAATGCCATTGCTAAAGAACTCTGCTCCAGGAGTGGCTGGTGGGGTACATTTTGGCAACAATGGATTCTGCCCCTGTAAAGACTTAAAACACCTAAACATGATTGAGCCATGAGTCCTGTCAACAAGGGTCTGACCTCAGTATCGTACCCCAGTGCTGCACCGGACACTGAGCTTCACTGTGCAGGGGGAGAAAAGAGAGAGTTGACTCTTTCTTTCTTTCTCTTGTTTTAAGAGAGGTTGGTAATGTGTGTTTTTCATTTTAGTCATGTCTGAAAAGTTGGTTTGAGCAACAAATATTATAATTTCATATAACCCAGTTGTGAACTAAAATTGGCTCTTTATGGATATCTTGCTTTTTACTCCTAAGAACATGGATAATTTTGAACTCAAGAATTTTGGAAATAATTTAAAAAAATTAAAAATATCATTTCAAGTTTGGTTGCATCTGAAGTGATTAACAAGTGCAGTTTATGAACTATTAATATCTTGTATTGAGCCACATTTTATGGATTACTATAGTTAACTAAATATGTTTTATAAGTATAAAGCTTCGGGGCGCCTGGGTGGCTCAGTCAGTTGAGCAGCTGACTCTTGATTTAGGCTCAAGTCATCATCTCGGGGTTGTGGGATCAGGCCCCACGTCGGGCTCCTTGCTCAGTGGGGAGTCAGCTTGAGGATTCTCTCTCCCTCTCCCTCCCTTTTTATATATGTATATACCCATATAACCACCACCCCAGATCAAGATACAGAATTATTTCTGGCACCTCAGAAGGCTCCCATTCAGTCTCTTCCATCAAACTACTATTATGACTTCTTTTGTCATAAATTAATTTGTCTGTTTTTTGAACTTGATATAAATGGAATCTACAACAGCATATTCTCTTTAGTGTCTCGCTTCTTTGACTCACTATAGTGTCTCTTATGTTCCTTATCTGTCTTTTCATCTTCTCGGCCTCAGCTGTGTCCCCTCCCTAGAGAAGCTTTCTCCGACCACTCTGACAATGCACACTCCCTGCCCCATGTCCTGTCGCAAAAATACCCTGCTTATTTCCTTCATGGTATTTAACACAACTTGTGATTATTCCGTGTTTTTGTGCTTACCATCTATCTCACAATGGGCTGTAGACTTGGTTAACATAGGGAGCATTTTGGTCTTGTTCATCATTGTCTTCACTGGGCCAGGCAAAAATTTGCCTGGCACAATCATAGGTACTGAATCATGAATACTTGTTGGCTTACTGAATGAATGAATGAATGAATGAATGAATGAATGAAGAATGAACTCTGCTTTGTTTTCTGACTTGTACTGAAGTAAAAAAAAAGAAAGTTCTGAAACTTTCTAATTTTTGGCACAGTGTTATCTAAAGTAATTCTGATCTTACTAGGAATTTATGAAAATTTTCTCTTGTGGGAAAGATAGACTAATTGTCATAGATGACAGGACAGAATCCTATACCCAAATAAAAATTATTGTATGTACTAAAGAGCAATCTTGAGGGAAATGTTTAGAAGTTCTGTCTTGATCAGCATTTTTACAGAGACTTAGGTGAAGGCATTATTATCATGACAAATTTACATGCTGAGATTTTGGAGAGGCATAGCTATTACCTTGCATAAGTGAGTCTGAATCAAGAGATCTGGAGGGGATAGAAAAATGAGTTGAACATCTAGTAAGATGAAATATTATAATGGTAAATACAGAGTCTGGTACTTAGGTTCCAACAGTCATCCTCACATTAGCATGGAGAAAGGTGGCTTAGTAGTCCAACTGCCCATTCGTATTTAAGTCTGCAGAATGATTTTGTTGCCATAGGAAATTAATAGGTTGAGTATCAGAGGAATATTGAGGAAGAGCAGCTTATGGTCATGTTCTTTCTACTCATACACCACATGAAATGTTTCTTATGCCCCGGATCACATGTTTGTATTGGTTTAACAACAAATTGGATTGCCTGGAACACAGGTTGTCAAGCTAAAGCCCCCAGGCACCTGTTTTTGTGAATAAAGTTCTACTGTAACACAACCGTGCCCATTTGGTTACCTATTTTCTGTGACTGCTTTCTTGCTTCAGTGGTAGCGTTGAGTGTTTATTACAGAGACCATATGGCCTGCAGAGCCTAAAATATTTACTATCTGATGCTTTCCAGAAAAAGCTTTCCAACCTCTGGTCTAAAGTACAAGACCTAGATGAAGAAGATTGAAAGCATGGCAAGAGGAGCAGCAGAGGAACATGGGATGTTTAAGCAGGCGAAGAGAAGATGTAGGTGCAACAGGGAGAGTGGCCTTCAAATAATTGAAACACTGTTGTTTGGAAGAAAAATTGGACCCTTGTCTGTTTAACTTTGTAAAGCAAAATGAAAACAGGATAGAAAATATGGGACAAGGGGAGGATTTTGTTAGTGTATAGAAAGTTGGTTTAACATGGGTTGGGTTGCTTCTAGAAATAATGAGTTTTTTGCCACCAGAGGCATTTAAAAAGAGGCCAGATGACTGTTTTACCTGTTTGCATTGATGAGGGTCGGGCATTCAAGAACTAGATATCTTCTGAACTCTTGTAATTCTGAGATTTTGCCTTGGAATGATTCTCTCAAATCCAGGCTGTGGTTTTCAAGCATTTCTCCAGGGTACTAGCTTTGTCTGGCCTTGTAGATTGGAGATCAAGCAAGTCACAGTGAGCCTTAACAGTGGATTATCTACCTGGTTAAGCTGTTCAGATATATACCATTCCAACAGAAAATAAAAATATATTTAATAAGCTTTAACAAATACCTGAATCTAGTTTAACCTTTAAAGGTTTATTTTTTATTTTTTCATGCACGTGGAAGGTTTGAATCATTCTTTTTTCTTCCTATTGATTCACAAGACAGTTTTAAGTTTCTTTGTTTATACTAAGTGATATGTGATCTTGAAAAATACTCAGGTGTGTAAGGCTGGAGCACAGAGAGTTCATTAGGTTTATTATTTGCTACCTTTTGTGATTTCATATTGCATTTTCTTGCTGTACTTGAGCTTCAGTGTGAAACATCCATATAGGCAACCTGACCTTGTGTTTAGTTCTGCATTCTTTTCATACTTCTGGTCTCCTGAAGTAGAAATTTATAGGTAAAACTTCAGAATTTAAAAAGAGGAGCTTTTCAAATGAAAATACCATCAGTTAAGGGCCTTCTTATAGATCTAAGTTGAAATTATGGAAAGCTGCTGAGTGAGACTCGTTCAGCAAACATTTGAATTAAGAACATTGTACTTTGTACATCGTATTAGCTACTCATGTGATGTCTTAAACAGTTTCCTTCTGATTTGGACTTCTTACAGCTTTTGTACTTTGCAGTAGACGGTGGGCTTGAAATGTGTGGTTTCCCCATTTATCTGACCCGCTGGCTACGTCAAGTGGGTCTGGGTGCCGACTTCTGTGAAGTGGAGGCCAGGGCCCTCCCCCTTGTCATTGGCAGCCTCTAGAGGCTCGTATTGGTTCCATGTCCTTAGGTCCGAAGACTTAAATCCAAGTGAGGACCCCTTTGTTCTGCAGAGGTTCAGATGTAATGGTATCTATTATGTGGAAAGGCTTTGTAACCTGTAGGGGGCTGTTCAAGTGCAAGTTGATTTTCGGAAGAACAGTAACTCGCATTTAAGTAGAGTCTGGCCTTGGCTGCTCAGCCTGTCCCTGTGGCCAGCAGAGGCACACTGAGTTCTTCACCATTTTCCTCGCACTGTCTAGCTCAGATCCACTGTCCCAGTTACCCATTTCAGGCAGAATGGGTTGGAGAAATGGAGGCACTCAGACATGGAGTCTGTTGAATCATAGACTTGCTGATTAACTGTCTTTGCTAGCAGTATTTAACATTATTTCTATTTATTTACTTTTTTGTTCCATCACACTTTTGAGTCTTGAAACACTGATGAGAAAAGATTTCCTGCATATTTGGAAGCATTCAGGAAGAAGTTTTGACCTTTAATTATGATTTTTTAAAAATTAGATATTCAAATGCTTACTACTTATTTTATGTACATACTAAGTGTTAATATAAAATACAAATACAAATATTTGACTGTTGTAATGTTTAAATGTCAACTGGACAAGTTAGGTAATATTCCCACTCTTTGAGGTGGGAATTACCCCTTACCAATTAAGTATCTCTTCTTCCCTATACCTAGTAGAGTGTTTCCGACATGCTAGGTACTCCAGCGTGTGTGTGTGTGATGAATAAGTCATTGACGTGACTCTTAAAATTATATATATGTATAAATACGGATATTTGTTAAAATTTCCTTGAATTTTTACTAACTAGCTCAATAATTAGGGAATAAACTCTATTACCACAGAACTCTAACCTGTTGTTGTCTTTCTTTGCTTATTCATGCAATCCATTTTCCTGCTGTAAAGGGATCTGTCATCCTTTGGTGGTTAAAACACATTTAATAATATCTAATACTTACATAGCACTTACCATGGGCAAGGTACTACTTTAAGTGTTTCGTGCATATGATTAATTTACCTAATTTTTATGACAGTCCTTTGAGGTAGAAGCTATAGTCCTCATTTACAGGTGAACAAACTAAGGCAGAGATTAAGTAACTTGCCCAAGGTTGCACAACTAGTAAGTGCATTAGTGGTGGTATGAGGAGGTTGAGAAGTCAGTGTTTGAATGTATACAGTGTGCACATTGTGATCTTGCATTGTGAGAACTTGTAAGCAATATAAATTTCTCTACTGAAACATTTAACATTATAAAAGTTGATTGAATGAAAAAAAGAAATCTGGCTGTACTTGGCCGTCTTTGTACCATTTATGTTGTTCCTCCAGTTTTGTTTAGATGAGGACATCATGTAAATAGACATATTCTCTAGGTTATTTTTGTAATATTATTTTCACTCGAGAAATACTGTTCTACTTGTTAGTGTGCAAGGATAACTGAATATTTTCTTTTATTTCTTAACAGTACAGTGCTGTGGATACCAATCCACTCTCCCTGTATATCATGCATCCATTTTGGAACACTATAGTAAAGGTAAGACAATTAATAGACTTGTACTTATGTTTTAGTAAGTTTTAAATATTTTACAAAGTGTTATAGATGCAACTGTTTGATAAGATATAAGAGAAACTAGCTCTCCCATACTTCTTTCCCTCAGTCACATACCTTTTGATTTATCTCACTGTTGGGAGTATAAGCCTATACTCCTATAATTTATCACTTTTATAAAATGAATTTAAAAATTTTCTTAAGTAAATGTAGTGTTATGATTATAAAAGTTTGTTGATTATAGAATTATTTAAAATACAGAAAAGAGAAGAAAGATGCTTATTTTTATCAACTGGACATTATGGTTTACATTTTGATATATATATGTATGATCTTTCAAGTTTATAGCTTTATTATGACTTAAATTTGCATCTTGTGTGGTGGCCAGAGAGATTCCTTTAATTATTTTTTAATTATTTTGAAAAAAATTAGGTATTTCCTACTTGGCTGGCTCCAAATCTGATAACCTTCTCTGGCTTTCTGCTGGTTGTATTCAATTTTCTACTTATGGCATACTTTGATCCTGACTTTTATGCTTCAGGTAAGATTATTACTGTAATATAAAATTTGAAGTGTCTAAATAGAGAAAAATGAGATGTTATTTTCTGGTTCTATTCATATGCTTGTATTTTGGGGAAGTTTTGGATACTATAAGGGTATGTAAGATGTTAGGAATTGAGTGTAAAAGCTAAGTTGTGTTTTCACAATCTGTTATGGATGTTTCCATTAAATTCTAGACACCAGCTTGGCTACTTAATTTAGATATGCTGTCTAAAAAGCAATGAGGTTTTGATAAATAAAGAATAATTGGATTCATAAGAAAAAGAAATTAGGATTATGACACTTTGCCTGAAAGTGAATATGAGCAGGGTCCAACATACCCAGCAGTTCCAGAAATATCCCTTCTTCCCTTGTTCTCATTATGCAAGAAAAATCCCCCCTGCTTTTTTTGGAGGGAATGTAATCTCTCTTTCCCTCTGCTCAGCATCTGTATTTGCCTTTAATACCTCCAAGTTTCCTCTGAAAATGGTTCTTAGACCTTAAATGTTGATTGAAGTTTAAGTCTTAAGAACCTCATTGGAAGAGAGAGGAAAGAAATGCTTTTGGAGGCAGTTGTTAGCCTGCTTGCACCCCAGACTCCAGTATCTTCTTTCACATCTGTTCCTGTCTTCATGTTCTCCCTCACCCTGTTTCTGCCCCAGGCCATAGGACAGAATCTGGCTGTATTTGGGATGAAGGGGCATAAGTGGGAGATAGAGTTTATTTTCATTGCTCAGCTAGTTGATGGAGTTGAGAGAAATGGAAAGATGGAGGTAGATGAATATTTTTTAAATTCTAAGTTGGAGTATATATTTTCCAATAAGAATACTTATAAATGATGTAGTAGTAAGGAGTTTTAGTGTTACAATTCATCTGTGTTGTGGGTTTAGCAGACTTTTGTGGACTGACCTGGAGAAATAACAGTCACTGAAAACATTGTTTTTATACGAAAGTTCAGATTTTCAAAAACTTATGACTTGATATTATAGAAAATCTGAATATTGAAACTATACATTTGCTTAACTGTCAATTGAAATTTTAAGCCATGGCTTCTGTACATGTAATAAAATGGCAACTTTATGAAGATCATAAGGTATGACATGATTAATAAGATTAAATTTTATTAAGCATGGTTTGGATATTAAGCAGTTTTTAAAAATTTGTATTTTAATCTTTAGAACATCCTCAGAAGTTTATTTTGTAACTAGAAATATTTGACTACTGTAACATTATTTACTCAGTTATTAAGAGAGTTAAAAATATGTAAATATTATGCATATTTCCCCAAATCATAGAACCTAGAGGACCAGGTAAACCATCTCATCCTGGTATATTTGGTAAATGGAAGATGCAAAGGGTTAAATGATATATTCATGGTCACACTGCTGGTTGAATACAGAGCTGGGACTGGAATCTAGACCTCCTAATTCTCAGTTGTTCTATCTTGGGGTAAATAGTGAGGTCCAGACATTTCAGAATGATTCTGATGCCAAATCATCCAGTGGAGGTGACCTATCTATGCCCAAACAAAAAGGTCTTTTGTTTAGCTAATTAATAATATAATGAGAGAATATAGATTGAAGGCTTAATGTATGTTTGTAGGATAATTGTAAACAACGAGGATCAGATTAAACACAAGCATCTTTTAAGTTCCAAAAATATTAATTTTCATTCTCAGCACATAAGTAATTTTCAAGTAAAGATGAACAATCAGTTTTGAGTTATGATTAAAGCTCAAAATAAATGCCTATTGTTTATGAGGGGTTGGGCAGTTACTTCTTTGGTTTTGTCAGTTTGCTGATATATTTTAATATCTACCTAATTCTGCATTACAAGTATATTATAATGTACTTTAACTTTTATTTAATAGAAATATTTCTCATTGCCAGTATATGGTATGGTAAGCATGCTTATACTTTGTATTAAAACTGTGTTGTTTTCCTTGGCAGCACCAGGTTACAAGCATGTCCCTGATTGGGTTTGGATTGTAGTGGGCATCCTCAACTTCATAGCCTACACTCTAGGTAAGAAAACGGCAAATACTCATGTTAGTCAACGGCTGGTGAATCTGTCAGCAGGGATAGCCATCCACTAAGTTAACTAACATTTTCTCCTGTGCTTAATTAATTTTAACTTGGGTTTATTAATTTCCTGTCCAATTTAAAACAAATGTTTTTGAGTTTATCTATGGAAAATATTGTCACTCATTGCTGGGGATGCAAAGAATAAGGTAGGAGTTGGCAAACTACCTCTTGCAGGCCAACTCTGGCCTGTTGCCTGTTTTTATAGGTAAAGTTTTATTGGAACACAGCTCTATTTATTCCTTTACATGTTGTCTATGCCTGCTTTCTGCAACAAAGACAAAGCTGAGTTGTTGCAACAAAGACTACTGATGACCCACAATGCCTCAACTATTTCCTGTCTGACTCTTTACATAAAATATTTACCAACAACTGGAATAAGATGTCATTTTTGCCTTACGTTTGGGAAGCAATACTGACATATCAAATAATTGTGGAATACCGAGAGAGCTGCTATAATAGAGCACAGTGGGAGAACAAAAATAATTGGGAGAATAAAAAAGTGATCAATTCTTATTTAGTGGAGGGGGTGGTCAGGGAAGTCTGCTGTGTTAGGCTGTATTGTCTGTTGTGCCAAGAATGCTTTTTTGTTGGGGTTATCTGCAGGGCTTGTCGTGCATGCTCCTATTCCCCTTCCCTGCTTTGTTTTTCTCCATAGTACTTAAAGCCATATGACCTGCTTGTTGTCTGTCTGCTCTAAAATGTACATAGCTTTGAGGGCTATGTACCCAATGTTTAGAACAGTGCCTAACACATAGTAGGCACTTAGTATATAGTTTTTATATGAATATAAAATGCCAGACCTTGACTTCACGTTGCTTAGATCCCTTCAGATAAAAATGACTTGCACTCCTAAAACCAGTATAATTTGGTACATGATTAAATGCAGGTGACCAGAGCTGCCAGGGTCTGGGGAAGGAAAAAAGTGAAGTCCAGAAGAATTAGGGGAGAGCTTAGTGAAAAATGACATTTTTAGGCAGAAGCTTTTGTACATTTGTTCTTAAAGATGAGCAGCTTTGGAGCGCCTGGGTGGCTCAGTTGGTTAAGTGTCTGCCTTCGGCTCGGGTCATGATCCCGGGGTTCTGGGATCGAGCCCCACGTCAGGCTCCCTGCTCAGCGGGGAGTCTGCTTCTTTCTCTCCCTCTGTCTGCTGCTTTGCCTACTTGTGATCTCTCTCTCTGTCTCTGTCAGATAAATAAATAAAATCTTAAAAAAAAAAAAGCAGGTTTAAGAATTCAATAGGGTTTGGTTACCAAGGGAAATAGGGAAAATGTTGAGAGTGGCCTGGAGCTCTGGCTTTTAACAGCATGTCTTAAGAGCCTTTTGATATACTGTATCACCTACCTGGTTCATGTCCATAGTTTTGGCAAAAATCCTGACCAAACATGAACTATTTGTTGTAAAACTGCCTTGAACTAATGTGAGGCAATGTACAAACTTTATTCTACTAGTGTGACTATTCTTACATTTTGCTGCAGGGTGCTGTTCTACGTCCTCCTGGGTTGTCCCCCCCCCCATAATATATGGTATATGCCCTGAATTCCCTTTCTTAAAACAAAACAAACCAGGGCGCCTGGGTGGCTCAGTTGGTTGGGAGACTGCCTTCAGCTCAGGTCATGATCCCGGAGTCCCGGGATCGAGTCCTGCATCGGGCTCCCTGCTCAGCGGGGGGTCTGCTTCCCTCTCTGACCCTACCCCCTCTTGGGGTCTCTCTCTCTCTCACTCTCTCTCTCAAATAAATAAATAAAATCTTTGAAAAAAAATTAAAAAAAAAACCAAAAAACAAAACAAACAAACAAAACGAACCAAAAAACCCCTTCTGAAACATATCCAGGCTTGTGGAGCTGGAATGGGTACAGGGAGAAGATGTACAGAACCTAATTAGTATGCAGTCCATGAATTCAGTGTTTGTAATAACTGCCCAGGAGTTGCACCGCAAACAGGAATTTAAGCCAGCAAATAATGAGAAAAGACTTTGTGGAAACATTTTTGCTACTAAGGGCAAAAAAGTTCCCAACACTATATAACAGAGATCCGCGGTGTTTGGGCAGGAATCTGGGATTCGTCCTTTCCTGTATTCCTTCAGCAATATTTTTAAAGGCCTTCTCTGCCACAAACTGAGGTAGGCCCTGGGGATAATACTATAGGGAGCAAGATAAACCAGTCATCATAGGAATTGTTAATTCCTAAAATCTGAATCTTTACAATTAGCCTAATAGTTAATAAAACTATTTCTTTTGGGGAGAAATTTTTATGGTTCAACTTCTTTGTTTTTTCTCTTAATAATAGCTCCCCTACTAGACAGACGGTTCCTGAGAGACCACAAGAATGGTATCTTCTTTAGCAGGGTGGTTGGTTCTGCACAAGCATGCAGAGCTATGCTTCAGACTTCTTTTTTACTAGGCTTTCTCATTTTCTCTTTCTCTCCCTACACCTCCCCGGCCCCTCTGTTTCTGCCCCTAAGTGAAGGTGTTCCCTTGTGCTTTATCTTTCACTTTCTCTTTCCACTCATTGCCTTGGCAATCCTGATCCTTCCCACTGTGGGGATGACTCCTGTGTTTATATCTAGCCCTCATCTGTCTTCTGAGTTGCTAGTAAGTACCTTAGGTTGAGTTGCTTGATATTACCATATGGATAATTCTGCCAACACTTCAGTGTTAGCACCTAAAATTGTACTCAGTATCTTTTCCACCAGTCACACTCCTTCTTTGGACTTCTTTATTTCCTACCCCTCTTTTAATTACCCAGATGGGAAATTTTGGAGAGGATCTTTCAATCCCTCAGCCTCACTCACTGATCTTCTTTCGCTGCATTGCCATTTTTATTTTCTTAATATCTCACCTGCCTCCAGCCTTTCATTGCCACTGTATCCCATGTCAGTGTGGGCCTGCTGATTAGTGTGTTCTCTCCAGCCTGTCATTCCTCACTGATGCCAGGGAAGTCTTCGCAAAGCTCGTCACTGCTTTCACCCTTATCACTCCTCTACTCATCCTTTTAGTAGCTCCTCGTACTTCCTGAAACTTTTAAACTCACTTCAGCTTCCCTTCTAGCCTCTCTACTGCCCCTTTCACATACTGGTTTCTTCTGGTCAACCTGAACTACTTGGCATTCTCTGAACACTCATGTGCTTTTCCATCTTGGTGTTTTTGCCGATAGCACTTCTCTTGAAACAGCATACTCTTATCTACTGAAATACAGCTCATTCTTTATGTCTCTTCTCCGGTTTCATCTTGTCTGGAAGGCCATTCTCAGTTATCTTAGCCTGAAGAGTACTTGTCCCTTTTCTGTACTCTTCTATGGTTTGGGATGTACTGTATCTTTCATTACCATGTTTTGTTACCTTTCTCAGTTGTAAACTGAGGGCACAAACTTAGTTTATTCTGAGATTATTCTTATAATCTTCACAACATCAAGAATAGTGCATTGCGCGGTTTTAATACATTCTTACATTTACTGAATGCCTACTATGTGCAAAGCCTTTTCTGAAAGCACTTAAAATTGTGGAAGTGGTACATCCATGACATAGTGACTGTAATTTCAAATAAGATGAAATAGGTGTTAGGACTGAAGCACAGCGTGTTTTGGATCCTAGAGCAAAGAGTGGTTAGATAAATTGTGATGAGTAACTATTGAATATTCTCTGGAGGCTTGAAAATTTGTGGCTAGCGGAATAACTCGGTTGTTAGGCTGATTTGGAGGAATTCAGAGTCCAACTACGATGCTTTGTCTTAAGATGTAAAATTGACACCATTTAGTGTGATGTAATGTATTTTAATTTTAAGTAACTATTTATTTTTAAAGATTTTATTTATTCATTTGACAGAGAGGGAGAGAGGGAACACAAGCAGGCAGAGGGAGAGGGAGAGGGAGAAGCAGGTTCCCCGCTGAGCAGGGAGCCCGATGCGGGACTTGATCTCAAGACCCCCGGATCATGACCTGAGCGGAAGGCAGACGCTTAACCAAGACTAAGCCACCGAGGCGCCCCGTATTTTAATTTTTAAGTTAAACTCTGAGAAATTACAGATTTTATTTCTGAAATCTTCGAATTGTAGGAATTAAAGGTTGGATTTTTATAAAAAGTACTGGCTGGTAGCTATTCTTTAGTTTATTAACATCCCTATGATATGGTGATCTGTTTTGTTTTATGTTTCTCCAGTTTATTAAAGAAGACTTTCCCCATACTGATACAGATGTTGACCTTTTCCCATGGTAATGTGTTTTTGTTGCAGATGGTGTGGATGGAAAGCAAGCCCGGAGAACCAATTCCAGCACCCCTTTAGGGGAGCTTTTTGACCATGGCCTGGATAGTTGGTCATGTGTTTACTTTGTTGTGACTGTGTATTCCATCTTTGGACGAGGACCATCTGGTGTCAGTGTTTTTGTTCTTTATCTCCTGCTATGGGTAGTTTTGTTTTCTTTCATCTTGTCCCACTGGGAAAAATATAACACAGGGATTCTTTTCCTGCCGTGGGGATATGACATTAGCCAAGTGGTAAGTATGTGTTCTGCTTTAAATTTTCAACATTGCCATGAATTTTGGGGGCAAGTTTTTGTCATTCCTTCTTTATAGCCCTTACACTTTTTTGGCTAGAACTGATTTGTGTTTTTAAAAAATTTCCCTTTTTTTTTTTTTTTTTAAGATTTTATTTATTTGTGTGAGAGAGAGAGAGAGCAAGCACAAGCAGGGGGTGGGGCAGGCAGAGGGAGAAGCAGGCTCCACCCGAGCAAGGAGCCTGATGCGGGACTCGATTCCAGAACCCTAGGAGCATGACCGGAGCCGAAGGCAGCCGCTTAACCGATGAACCACCCAGGCGTCCCTAAAAAATTCCCTTTTTATCTTGTGTTATTTCTTATTTATGAACAGTTTCAAACGAAAAAGTAGAATAGCATAGTGAACCCTTATGTACCTGTTACTTAGCTTCAGTAGCTACATGGCCAGTCCAGTTTCATGTATACTCTTCCTCCCAATTATTTTAAAGGAAATTCCAGATAGTATGTGATTAGTATTTTACTACATATCTCTAAATAGTAAGAGTACTTTTTAAAAAACCATAATCACGATGTTGTCATTATTAAAAAATGAACAGTTTCTTAATGTTAATAAATACTCCTTTGAACTGTTGATTTTTGTAAAGAAAGATATGCACATATAATTGTTGCTTTTTTGTCTTTACTGCCCATGTTTCAATGAGTAGGGATACTTGTTTTCTCTTACTTAATAGGCTTGCTCTTAACTCTCCCTGCCTTTGAATACTAGCTTTTTTGTGTTACCGTTTTGCCCATTTGCACCTAAGGCCCCAGTAAAGCATCAGACTTTGGAGTGTGTTTGAAGAAAGAGATTGGGTAGGCAAACTGGATCATCCTATGCCTTAACCAATTCCTGACATGCCTTTAAGTGTTCTAAATTATGGCCAGTTGCTTGCATTGTTTAGAAGTTAATTATTTTATGGCATTGTTGGCTGAAAAAAGACATTTTTAAAGGCAAGAAGGCTTGCCACAGTATCAAAGTTAAGTGTACTTCTTGCTTTTACTAAAACTGTTTACTAGACTTACAGCTTTATTGGCTCCCTGATCTTTCCAGCTGTTAATGCCTCTGTATGCTTTTGTCTGCATTTTCCTTCCAGACTATATCTTTTGTCTACATAGTGACTGCGATTGTGGGAGTTGAGGCCTGGTATGAACCTTTCCTGTTTAATTTCTTATATAGAGACCTATTCACTGCAATGATTATTGGTAAGAAGCTCCATGTTGAAGCCTATTTTAACATCACTTTATTATCGAAGCCAGTGTTTGATTATCACAAGCTATACCACCTTTTCCCTCTCCCACACCCTCCAGCAAGCAGAACAGCCCTACAACCCTGGTTTCAACCAAACCAGTAAGGAAAATGAGGTTTCTGTGTTTTGGTTTTTTTGTTTAGCACTAAGCTATTTCTAGTCAGAAGGAATTAAATACCAAAATCACATAAACCTTGTAAACTAAATATTTAAATGAACCTAGATTGTTCTAGAGTATCCACATTTAGGTGGATATTTGGTATAGATTTCATGCCTGTCTCAAAATTGAAGATCATTAGTTTGTACGAAGTAGAATAGATGGAAGATAGAGATTACTTCATAATACATCCACTCCAGAAGTTGAGCCTTTGTTCCTCTGAGATACTCTCCTTTTGCCACTGGCCATTAGCAGGTAAAGGTTTTTGATCATGGTAATGTTTCCCTTTTGATTTTAGCCAGAGGAGATATCTACGGAAGGCAGAGTGTTTTCTGTGCAAAGAGGCAAGGAGGAAGTTATTTGGGCTGTGATTTGGGGGCACTAGGAGTGGCATTAGGACCTCTGTAGAAGTAAAATAGCAAACTCTTGGCTATTGCACTGTTCCCTTATCTAAGAAATAACCGCCTCTCCTACTACCAGTGAAACTTGGTAATAGAATGGGCATTGGGTAGGGTTTGGAAACAGCTGAGAAGTGGTGCATTAGGCACTGGCTTTTGGGTAGTGGTTTGGGCCTTTGTGGCCCTGAACTACAGATACTTTAGAACCCCGCTGTTAGCTTCCAAATGTTCATTTTTGGGTTTCTATATGAACTGAATCCTCTACCTTGGAAAGGCTAGCTATTTTTCACCCCCACCACATAGTGAATCTTTTGATTTAAGTGACTAGTCCTGTGGCAGGATTGCTGCATTTTATATTTAAATGTTAAATTTAATGATAAGATGGAATCCTCTGGTATGTGAGATATATTTTTGAATGTTAAGGGGGTACTTTAATAGGCACATAACTTTCTTTGTAATTTATAAGTTTATCTGAATTTTTCTCTCGAAATAAAAGCCCACGTTTCTTTACAAATAAATAAAGCAGCTTTCCCAATACAGGTATACCTCGTTTTATTGCACTTCACTTTATTGTGCATTGCAGATACTGTGGTTTTTACAAACTGAAGGTTTGTGGCAACATATTAGCAAGTCTATTAGGGCCTTTTTTCCAATAGCATTTGCTCATTTCATGTCTCCGTGTCTCCCTCTGTCATATTTTGGTAATTCTCGCAATATTTCAAACTTTTGCATTATTATATTTGTTATGGTGATCGGTGATCAGTGATCTTTGATGTTACTATTGGAATTGTCTTGGGGCCCCACAAACCACACCCATATAAGATGGCAACTTAATTAATAAATGTTGCGTGTGTCTGACTGCTCCACCTACCTGCCTCTCTCCCTCTCCTCGGGCCTTCCTATTTCCTGAGACGCAGTATGGAAATTAGGCCAGTTAATGACCCTCCGGTGGCCTCTAAGTGTTTAGATGAAAGGAAGAGTCACACATCTGTCACTTTAAACCACAAATTAGAAATGATTCTAATCATTTAATTCTAATCACTTGGAAAAAAGCCAAGATAGGCCAAAAGCCAGGCCCCTCGCACCAAACAATTAGCTAAGTCTGTAAATGCAAAGGAAAAGTTCCTGAAGGAAATGAAAAGTGCTACTCACTGAATACACGAATGATAAGAAAGCAAAACAGCCTTTTTGCTGATAATGGAGAAAGTTTGAGGGGTCTGGATAGAAGATCAAATCAGCCACAACATTCCCTGAAGCCAAAGCCTAATTCAGAGCAAGGCCCTAACTCTCTTCAATTCTGTGAAGGTTGAGAGAGGTAAAGAGGCTGCAGAAGAAAAGTTTGAAGCTAGCAGAGGTTGGTTCTTGAGGTTTAAGGAAAGAAGACTTGTCTATATCATGAAGGTGCAAGGTGAAGCAAGTGCTGATGTAGAAGCTGCAGCAAATTGTCCAGAAGATCTCACTAAGATAATTAAGGAAGGTGGCTATGCAAAACAACGGATTTTCAGTATAGATGTGACCGTTTTAATATTGGAAGGAAATTACATCTAGGACTTTCATAGATAGGAGAAGTCAATGCCTGGCTTCAAAGCTTCAAAGGACAGGCTGATTCATGTTAGGGGCTAATGCATCTGGTGACTTGAAGGTGAAGCCAGTGCTCATTGACTATTCTGAAAATCCTAGGGCCCTTAAGAATTTGCTATATCTACTCTGTCTGTCCTCTCTACATGGAACAACAAAGCCTGGATGATAGCACATCTGTTTACAACATGGTTTACTGAATATTTTAAGCCCGCTATTGAGATCTGCTCAGAAAAAAGGATTTCTTTCAAAATACTACTTCTCATTGGCAAGCACCTGGTCACCCAAAGCTCTGATGACAATGTACAATGAGATTAATGTTGTTTTCATGCATCCTAACAACGGCGTTCATCCTGCCGGAGATTGGATAGTAATTTTGACTTTCGAGTCTTATTATTGAAGAAATAAATACCTTTTTATAAGGTTGTAGCTGCCATAGAACGTGATTCCTCTGATGGATCTGGGCAAAGTAAATTGAAAACCTTTTGGAAAGGATTCACCATTCTAGGTGCCATTAAGAACATTCGCAATTCATGGGGAGAAGTCAAAATAATCAACATTAACAGGAATCTGGAAGAAGTGATTTCCAACCTTTATGGCTGACATTGAGAGGTTTAAGAATTCAGTGGAGGAAGTAAGTAGCCGTGGTGGAAATAGCAAGAGAACTAGAATGAGAAGTGGAGCCTGAAGATGGGACTGAATTGCTGCCATCTCATGATCAAACTTTGTAACAGACGAGTTCTTACGGATGAAAAAAGAAAGTGGTTTTCTTGAGATAGAATCTGTTGGTGAAGATGCTGTGAAGATTGTTGGAATGACAACAAAGGATTTCGAATATTACATACACCGAGTTGAATAAAGCAGTGGCAGGGTTTGAGAGGATTGGCTGCTATTTTGAAAGAAGTTCTGTGGATAAAATGCCATCAACCAGCATTGCATACTGTAGAGAAATTGTGGAAGGAGGAGTCAGTGTGGGAAACTTCATTGTTTTCTGTTTTAAGAACTTGTCACAGCCACCCCCAACAACAGCCCTCAGCCTCGAGTCAAGACCCTCCACCAGCAAAAAGATTACGACTAGCTGAAAGCTCAGATGATGGTTAGAATTTTTAGTAATAAAGTATTTTTTAGTTAAGGCATGTACATTTTTATAATACATAATGCTATTGTAATCTTCATAGGCTACATTATAGTATAAACATAACTTTTATGAACTGGGAAACCCAAAAATTTATGTGACTTGCTTTATTGTGACATTCACTTCATTGCGATAATCTGGAATGCAGCCCGCCTTACCTCTGAGGTATATGCCTGTACTTTTTATGGAAAGTACGTTGGGTGCTATTTAGAGAAGAAATAGAAGATAGAGTGTGTCTCTTTGGCAACCTATATATAGCCCAGGCTTCCTACATGCTTGCTGTATTTAAGATAAAGCTATTTCAAGATATTTTAAACTAAAAATACTCTTAGTAGCAAATCTTTTGCAAGTTTCTGTCAGCCTATTTCCGACACCTCAGAGCTATAGTGATTCTGGGTTAATTAATTCAGCCCCTGCTCCCTACCAGTTCTTCCCAGCTTGACACGGAGTCAGCTTGTCTTCCCTTCCTTTCTAAGCTCTTCTAGCTTGGGGAACTTTGTTGCAGTTGGGCTTGGAAGTGGCAGAGTAATTCATCTTTTCAAATGAGATTTCTGTTTGGTGGATTCTAATCTTTTTTTCTGTTTTTAGCAAAATGTCTTAGGAATTGTTTTGAAGGAATGCTCTTCTGTCTTTGATCCTTAAGGTCATAGCTGCATTGACCCACCTTCCCACCCCAAGCCAAGTATACAGCGGGAGTCAGGAGTGGACAAGCTAGGGCTAAGCTGTTGAGTGATGGTGACATATCCAAATGAAGTAGCCAGAAACTTGCCACAGGTGTTGATTTGGAGTTTGACAGAGAAAAAAAAAATCAGGAATTTACATTTCTATAATTTGTAGAACCAGAGAATTTTAAAAATGCCAGGGACATTAGGAAGTCAATTAACCCATCCATATTGTACAGCCGTGGAATCTTAAGCTCAGAGAGATCATCTGATTTGCCCAAGAGTACATTACTAGATTTCGGAGTCATCTGTAGGAAACTTATAGTTAAAGCTGTAAGAGAGGATTCTCTGAGGGAGAATAGAAGCACAGTTGAATGTCCAGTTAGGAATATGCAGGAGGCAGAGTTGCCAATAAAGGACAGCGCATGTAATGCTTGGATAACTAACAGCACTGGGCGAATGGATCACAAAGGCAAAGGGAGGAACGAATTGGAGTTAGTGGAGAGTCAGCAGAGTCCTCTTAGAAGTCAGGAGTGAAGAAAGAATATTGAATTTGATCATTAGGAGAACTTGGTAAATTCCAGAGTACAGTTTCTGCAGAGAGAAAGCAGAATGAATGAGTACTGAGGAATTGAAGGCCACCAGGAAGGTCTAGCGAGCGATAGGGAGGACTAAGAGAAGAAGTGGAGAGGGAGAAGCAATGGGGTGGGGAGGGTGCTTCTTGGGAAGGCTGTCCTTGTTTTCGGGTTTGAGGGGAAGGAACTAGTGTATGCTTAGGGGTGGGTGGAGGAACTCAGAATGCTAGGGGGATAAATAAGTGGAAATGGGAAACCACAGAATCCATTAACCATCCCCTTTCAGTAACTCACACTTGTGCAATTTACTGCACACCAGGTACTGTTCCAGGTGTTTTTATGTGTAATAACTCATTTAATTCTCAAAACCCTACGGGGTCAATCCTATTATGTCTATTTTATAAAAGAAGAAATTGAGGCACTGAAATGTTAATCTGCCTGAAATCCCATAACCTGTAGGCACAACCAAGGTTCAAGCCCAATCTGGCCCGTTGAGCCTCTGCTCTGCAGTCACCAAGCTGTACTGCCACTCTTCTGGTTGTAACTGTTGTTCAGAAGTGTATTTAATTTCATTACAAAAGTGAACCTGAACCTGCGAGTTACTGGGTCTAAAAGCATTAAATATTTTGTATGTATTTGATAATTACAAACATCACTCTTGAATAATAATCACAATAATTTAAATATTCTTCCTTTTAGGTTGTGCGTTATGTGTGACTCTTCCAATGAGTTTATTAAACTTTTTCAGGTAAGTATTTCTTAATTGGGCAAGAAATGTGAAAATCATTGAATTTTAGGATCTGTTTTACTTTTGGCATCTGGACATTTTGAAAAGGTCGTGAAACCTGTATTTTTGAACCTAGAATGAGATTAGGATCATTTAGGGTCTACAGTGGCGGCTGTGTAGTGAGTTGAGCCATAGCACAAAACTGCTGGTTCTTTTAACAGTTTTTGGCTCACCAGTCTTCTATTTGTCATTTTTTTGTGGAGTGAATTGGGAAGGAGTGTGTTCTTGTTGAATATTGATAGGTTTATGTTCTTTTTAGAAATTGATTACAAGTTTTTATAAATTGATTCTGTGTAAGTTTAGTCAGCATGATCATAAAATTTCTGGACTTGTGTAGTTTAGGACCTAACCCTGAATCTATGCTGACTTCCCAAGTAGCACTATATAAAAATTCCTGCCAGAGGAGTGTGGGGCAAGGGTTCAGGAGGAATTTCCTGGCTGGCATTTCATTTCTTTGATCTGCACTTCTCAGCTTTGCTCAGCCACGCTGAATTTACGTAGGGGACCTGAATGTATTTTGCTGCTTCCCTCCTTGGAATTTTGTTCCCACTTCCCTCTAATACTGTTTCCTCTGCTTGAAACATTTGTACTTCCCTCTTCATCCTTCAGCCCTCAGATCTGTCCTGCAGAACCCTATCTGTGTCCAGCCAAGCTCTATGAATCTTCCCTATTCATGGCAACTGGCAGTCACTCATAGAAACCGTAACATTTCAGGCTCTGAAGGCCTTACAGATGGAGACATTTTCTCCTCATATTCTAAGGATGAGGTCCTGATTAGGTGATATCTTGTCGATATCCTGATTACAGGATCATGTAATCAGGGGCAGAACCAAAACTAGAATTGGGGGCTCTGTTCAGATGAGCAGACACATATTGGAGTGTGTGCTGGCGACACTGAGATAGGCTATGGGCAGTCTCAGTGCAGAGTCTTCCACTCGTCGGTTCGCTGTCACTTTGTATTGTAGCAGCACTCTGAGGTACTTCCTTGTGGTGTTTTGTGTGCGTTTTATTTCCCCTGTTGGAGTGTAAATCTCCCAGAACAAAGATCAAGTGCTATTCATCTTTACATTCCAGGGGACTAGGGCTCAGAAGACTTCCGTTGTAGTCATGGCCCTGCCACTTGATAGCAGGTTATGTAAACTTAAATTCTCACACCGTCACTTAATGTGTCTGCAAAATAGGGTTAGTAAGGTTGGTTCTTTTTGTGCTATGGGATTATTGTGAGTATGAAGTAAGAATAAGTGTGAAAGTACTTTGAAAACTAGAAAATTTACAATTGCAGTGTGAGTTTTATATGTAATAATGTTCTTTGTATTACTTGATTTTCTTTTTTTCAGAAGCTATAAAAATAACACCTTGAAACACAATTCAGTCTATGAAGCTATGGTTCCCTTTTTTTCTCCATGTTTGCTATTCATTTTGTCTACAGCATGGATCCTTCAGTCGCCTTCAGATATTTTAGAGTTGCATCCTAGAGTATTCTACTTTATGGTTGGAACAGCCTTTGCCAACATCACAGTAAGATTTTTTCTTTTAAAATTAGTCATAATTTATCTAAGGAATATATGACAAAATTTGATAATTTGAGAAATTTTATATAGTATTAAAAATAAACAGATTTTAATTTAAAGATATTTTACATCAGAAACTTGAAAGAATTATAACCCCTAAGACAGAAATGCTGAAAATTATTTTTTCCTTTTCCAGATGGCTACAGATCTAATGATTAATTTAGCGAGGCTGAAAGGGGTTTTTGAGAGAAAATACACACACACACACACATACTTCTAAATCAGCTGATTTTAAAATTAACAGGGAGTAAAAACTTTGTAATAAATAGAACATTTTTTAAAAGCCCTTTCTCTGTGATGGCCCAGCAAGAGAGCAGACAGGAGAGATCAGGAGTTGAGGAGGGACCTTAATGGTTCTGACAACCAGGGAGCCTGTGCTCTAACTCTAAAAACTTAGTAAGTTTTTACTTCACAAGGTAGCCACTGAGTTTATGTTTCCGTGTCTGTAACGTGTGTTCAATATCACCAGTCCTATTGATTTCACAGGGTTTAAAGATGTGAAAATATTAATACATTGTATAAAAGGTATCTCAGAAGGAGTAAAGCTAGATTTGAGTAAGGTATTGAAAGTAAAGGGAGCCAGAGAGGTCTTGGTGTTACTGTGACCATATGATTGAATTGGAGGCAGCATCTCCTCAGCACCATGAAGAAATTTAGTTGTATGGAGCTATAAAAGGCTGTTTTGAAAGTTTTTTTCAGATATCATGCTTAAAATTGGGAGAAATTTCTTTTATCCAAACTGTTACCTAGTGGAAGAATGCCTTCTATAGGAACCTGACTAAATTATCTTCCCGCCTCTTCTGACACACGCTCTGAGGGTCCGTGGGTTTGGACGTGTGGGCAGAGGTTCAGTTCGGCTCCTGAGCAGTTGAGAACTACTGATTTTAATAATGTCGTGTAACTGTGTTGGTTCAAGTACTTGAAATGCTTTTTAAATGTTGGAGTTACTAATTTTGGAAGTGCTTTGCTAATTAAATTTTCATTCTTTTTTTTCCCCCCTAACTTCAAGTGTCAGCTGATTGTTTGTCAAATGAGCAGCACCCGGTGCCCAACTTTGAATTGGTTCCTGGTTCCTCTTTTCTTGGTTGTCCTGGTGGTAAACTTAGGAGTACCCTCTTATGTTGAGAGCATTCTCCTGCATACTTTAACAGCTGTTTTCACTCTGGCCCACATCCATTATGGAGTACAAGTGGTGAGTACTCTAGAGCAAAATTGATTCCATTTGGTTCTTATGTACTAGGAAAGGAGGTGAGGGAAAAATTTCATAAGAAAGTTGCTTATTAAAGTAACGGGAAGGAAAAAAAAATAAAGTAGCTGGAAGAATTGGGATATTCTCTGTAAATTTTGAATAATATCCAGGTACATAATTTCAGATATCGTTTCTCTGATGAATGTGTTACAGTAACTACAAGTAATTTAAAAGCTGGATAATTATTATGAGGAATTAGTTGTTTTTTTTTTAAGATTTTATTTATTTATTTGAGAGAGAGAGAATGAGAGAGAGCACGAGAGGGAAGAGGGTCAGAGGGAGAAGCAAACTCCCTGCTGAGCAGGGAGCCCGATGTGGGACTCGATCCCGGGACTCCAGGGTCATGACCTGAGCCGAAGGCAGTCGCTTAACCAACTGAGCCACCCAGGCGCCCAGGAATTAGTTGTTTTTAAGTAGGTAGAAATATAAACTGTTTTCTTGGTGAATGGCGTTGTAAACTCTTAATGTGCTTTTAATTCTGTGAGGACCAAATAATCCCATTTGTTGATGATTTATTTCTATACTTGCTTCGTTAGCTTTAGGGGCATTTTTATAAGGGGGAAATATTAGAAGAAAACGGATTTAAGAAGTATTTTGCAAACCTTAATATTCTCTTCTAAAGCAAAAGACTAGTTTCAGGGCAAATGGACTAAGATAGATAGAATAAAATGAAAATGAGAACCATGCAGTTTATTTTCTTTCCCTCACACTTTAACACTCTTTTCTAATTATTTTACATATTTTAGCATGGTCTTATAAATACGATTTTTAATTGTTGTACAATATTCCGTCAAGGAGATTACTTAATAATTACCCGGTGTACTTAGTTATGATCCAGTTATTTTAATCATTTATGTTGTTTCTAAATTTTCACCATTATAAATTAAAGTTAGAGTGAACAATCTGGAATAATATATTTTTCTTTGTTTTCTGAGGGTAGTTTCATAGCAATGGAAAATGTAAAAGGGTATTCATGTTAGTATTCGTGTTTTTATGACTCTTAAAATGTTTCTATTTGGTATGCTTGTTTTAAAAGGAATCCTACTAGGACTCAGTTTGAGAAACAAAATGTCTTCTATACTGTCATACATATTTTTAAAATGGGTGCACCTGTCATGCTTGATAACTACTTTATACTGTGCATATGTTGCTAAACTTAGGTTTCTTCTCTTAGGGTTCTCCCCAAAGTAGCTTAAGTTTGTTGGAATAAAATAGATGAAAAAAAAAAATCCACGGTAACTAGGGATTATGACGTGAAGACATAATTGTTTGTTTTTATTTGCCCGTACTTAACATAAATGCTTCTTCACTTTATGTTAATACTCTTAGGCTTTCATATTCCATTTCATCAGTCATTCATGAAGTAGAATATAGTTGTAAATGTCTTTTATAATTGTGCTAATTTATTATAACCCCTCAGAAGCATATCTTTAGGCAATTTTACATAAACCAAACCAAAACATCTTTTTCTTTAAATTACAAAAGCAGTACATTTTCACTGTTAAAAACCTGGAAAATAAATACATGTTATTGAAAAAAAAAATTCAAAGAACATCTTTCTTGTCTGTCTTTGTGCTCTCTTGCCACTTCTGCAACTTCTGACCAGAAGGTAAAACTTGATAAGCCACACAAAGCACTAACTTTTGAACTACTGAAATATAAATAATAACAATAGAGCTGGGAAGTATTAAATAAATGATGTTTGGTAACTGACACATAACCGGGGTCTTGCCTACCCACCAGGAATACCTTAACCAATATGGCCTAAATCTCCCAAAATGTACAAATCTACTTTTATACTGTTTCATCAGTATTAGGAATGATTACCTAGAAATGCTATAAGCAGCTGAATATTGAGTCTAACTATATATGTAAATATTTGATCTATATATTGTAAGTCAGCTAACCCTGTAATTTTTCAGCAGATTTGGGTATGAATCTGTGTGGTCCAGAGGGCTCTGGAAAGACTAGATTTTGGAGTTAGGCAGCCCCAGGCTTAAGTCCTAACCCTCCCAGGGGTAGTCCTGGTATTCTATAGAATTCTATAACCTAGCTCTATAGCTATCCTAGGCCAGAAAAACCTGTCATTATTTCTGCTGAGTTTTGCTGTGTCGGTAAATTGTCTCCAGAGGGTGAATTCTGTGTCCTTTTAAAAAATTACTAGGAGGGACACCTGGGTGGCTCAGTTGGTTAAGCGACTGCCTTCGGCTCAGGTCATGATCCTGGAGTCCCAGGATCGAGTCCCGCATCAGGCTCCCTGCTCAGCAGGGAGTCTGCTTCTCCCTCTGCCCCTCCCCCCCTCATGTGCGTGCGCTCTCTCTCTCTCTCTCATTCTATCTCTCAAATAAAAAAAAAAAAATTACTAGGAATGTATTTGTCACTGCCTCATGTTCTGGTTTTCCGCAGGTAAAGCAGCTGAGCAGCCATTTTCAGATTTATCCCTTCTCGTTGAGGAAACCAAACTCGGATTGACTAGGAATGGAAGAAAAGAATAGTGGCCTGTAATCTACAGAAAAAAGTACTGTAAATAAGATGCTTGTAAATATTTCATCCATCACCATTGAACTAAACTGATCTGCTTAACAGACCTGGGAACTCAAGTGTGTATAGTACTTGGGTAGCGGGAGTGATACAAATGATCTGAACTTATGGAATTTTGGACCTACTAACTCCCAACTTATTTTATTTTTTATAAAACCATGTGGCATTTTGGTTAAGCATAATGTACTTTAGACCAGCAAAATGTTTCTAGTGATTTTAGCCTCATGTCTATAATGTTTTGGTTCATACAGAGTTAAAGATGCTTTGTTTTTATTTTTAAAGTCCCCAAATTGGTTTAGGAACACTGATAACATTAAGAAAACCACAAAATGTTTTCATATTTGGTATTACTTTAGTAGTAGGTCTTTAGCAGTGGAAGTTATCAATAGCCCAAATCTAATATAGGGAAAATATAAGAGCAAGTCACCTTTAGCAAGAGATGCCAAATGATTACAGAACTATAATGTACAATTGCCAAATACTGGTTTCTCTTTCCCATGGAAATGCCTTTTTTCCTCATGTGCTAAGAGAGCTAGTATATATATTTAGATTCTCTAGTATTCTGGCTCTCTTTGTTTGGGAGAGATCTTGATAAATGATTTAATTTTCTTTTAAAGAAAAATATTCGATTGAGACTTACCAGAGAGTCTATCATAATTGTAGCTCACCCGTTGACATGGTTCATCGTTTAAATATGGCATTTCCCCCCTTAGCTGCAAGTTGCTGAGATTTGGTGCCTGTGAACTATGATTATATGAATGCATGTGACAGTCCCAGTCTTACGATAATTATTGTAGGGAACACAGGTAAACTTCCTTAGAAATTTACTTGGGAGTTAGAAATCTCATGAGCCTCCCTATGAATTCCTGCTATGAACCTCACTACAAAATTCGTTTTCTAATTCAGTTTGCCTGCCCTTCCTTCCTTCCTTCCTTCCTTCCTTCCTTCCTTCCTTCCTTCCTTTCCTTCTTCTTTCCTTCCTTCCTTCCCTCCCTCCCTCCTTTCTTTGTTTCTTCCTTCCATCCGTCCGTCCATCCGTCTCTTTTTTATGGAGGAGAGAGTGCTGTGTTTTTTATTTCATACAAGATAAAGAAATAGAAATTCTTTCTTCCCTAACTTGCCCACTTCCCCACCTGAAGAAAGTTTCTGATATATATGCCTTACTGAGTACCTACTCTCTTTAATATGACTTGGAATAATTTTTGAGGTTTACTGACAAACATAAAAATCCCTTTGACTTTAATGTGGTTGTTTTATAGATCACACCTTTTCATGAATGTGGATATTTTATCTTTTTGACTTTGTCTCCATTTAGTTTGGTGATGGTGAAATTTACTTGCTGATTTTCTTTTATTTTCCACTGAATGAGGTTTGTGCTCGAATGAAGAGTGTATCTTAAACCCTTTTTTGTTTGGATGGATTGCACTTGGATAAAATAGGCACCACTGTGTTGATATGTAATTAAATTCTTAACCATTATTTATCTATGAATGTGACTGTCGTTAAATTTAATTATAGTGTATTCCTTTTTGAATTTCAGTCTCCTGCTTTGTAAAAATAACTATGTAATATTTCAGTTTTTTTAAATTTGTAAATCCTAATCATTGTTATCCAGGTTATTAGAAATGAGGAGTCAAGGAGCTAACTCATGGTTCTGTACTCATTTTTAAAAACGGTTCATAAAGATTGAGGTATATTCGGTGACTGAGACTGAACATGGTGAGAAATCGATGCTGGAAAATGCAGGTAGTGATTCTATGTTTGTTAATAAGTTGCCATCATGGAGGTCAGAGAATGAACAAATTAAGTAACGGTAACTCATTTTGTAGACCTTGTTCTTTGTCATCTGTAAAATTGAGCTGGATCAAGTGGTAATTTGGGCTGGGAACAAAGCTTTGTTTGTTCTAAGGTTTCCGAGCTAATCATTTTACCTTTTTGTTGATCTTGTACACAAGAATGAGATTAATCTGTATTATATAAGAAAAGAACTGAGAAATGTTTATAAAATGACAAATTTGGACCACAGGTTATCTTCAGCTTATACAGTATAGTTAAAAAACAAAACCCTTCTGGCATAGGGTCATGTTCTGTACTTTGGGGACTATTTTACATCAAAGTGTCTTTCTGTTCTTTTTCTGTTGCATCAAGTTTATTTGAAATTGTTTTGTGCCTGTACTTCATGACCTATTTCCCTACAGGGGTAAAGAATTATGCCATAGTTTTATTGACACCCTTAGATGAAAGGTGGCTGTCAACAAGGTGAAAGTGAAACTGAGTGATGAACTGTTTCAGAATACTGTGGACTTGTAAATCTTCAGTGGACTGCTTTTTTTTGGTTTAGTCTGCCATCTTGAAATGCATCTTGAAAGCCCCCATTTGTTGTGTAGTGATATAGCAGCTGAAGCAGGACTTACTTGCAAATAGCTCTGTGCATTTGTGTCATGCCAATTACCATAACATTTCCAAAGTATAAAAGATATTTCAGGCTTATGCATGATATTTTGGGGTGAGTCTACCACCCCAGCCTTTCTCCCAGCATACACTGAGCTGCCTTTAGGGGAGCAATGGCATGGTTGGTCATACATGCATGTTTTCTGTGCATGTCAGGATGGAGTGCCTTAGCCAGGCCAGATGTTTGCTTTGTGTTTCTGCTGACCAAAGTTACCTAGACCTGTGAGAAGTTTCTTGTCAGGTTAATGGTATGAAAAATGTCCTTTCATGCTTGTCAGAAATTAATTCCTTTATATTTGAGGGGGGCATGGGATAGAAAAGTCCTTAAAATACCTGGATAGAGTATCTGCCTTTTCTGATCCTTTACTAACATTCATGATCTTTAGTGCATTACACAGTTTAAGATTGTCACTGTTGACACTGCCATTCCTCCATTTATACATAATAGATGTAGTTCATGAGTTTTAGTCTCAAGGGTAATAGAGTGAATAACTTCCAAATGAAAAACTAAATGGTCCTTGGCCTTTTAATAATATCATGCTTAAAATATTTTAAATTCTAATTTAAAAAAATCTCCATGCTGATTATGGTCTAGAATGTTCTACTACTACTACCAACATTTCATTTATTTTAATATAGAGGTATGGGGAAGAGGAGTATATGTCTAGAGTTGCTCAAATTCTAAATAGGTACCAAGAGCATTAATCATGACCTGGAGTCTGGGCTTTGGGGGAATATGGAAAAGAAAAAGCAGGCATAAGGTCCGCTGAAGGAGAGGAAGGGGACACCTTAATGCACGGTGCCTGTTGTGTCCAATGGTCACTGCAGGGTTTTTACAGTGCAAAATAAACGTCCACATGCTAGTGCAGTGCAGAGTTTAAAATTGTCACAATTTCAATCGTTGTTCCTCCACTAACTTCAAATTCAAATGTGAATTTGAAAAGTCCCAAGTGTTCAGTTTTCAAAGAATTTATTTTGTAGTCAGTCAAAAAACATTTGGAATGTAACTTGCTTTCCAAAGTAGACTTTGATTCTATAGCCTGTGGAAAATAAAAAGATAAACTGGAGGTGTTTGAATCAAAGGGCCCTTTTCCCCTTTGTATTTTAACTAGAAGCCTGTGTGTAACTCTTCCTTTTCATTGTTCACCCGGCCTCCCTTTTGACTTGCTACGCCTAGGACAGAGGCGCCCACTTGCTTTGTAGCGCCTAGGTCTTGCCACATTCCGATCTCCTGGATTGCCTTAGATTTCTTGACATGTCAAGGGCTGGGACCGTGCCAGAGGGAACAGAGTAAACCTGATGGGCTAGAACTTTTGACTTTGGGTCCCCAAAAAGCCAAAAACAAATACAGAAATCTTTGGTTGTTGTGTTGATTCCTGTTTTCAGAGTGGCCTTTATCTTGACCTTGGTTCTGGACTTGATTGAGTACTCTAGGAGATTTCTGGTCATATTAGGATTTTCTTTGTCCCGTGAGGTGTCTTTGTAAGAGCATGCCCTTTCTTGAACACACTGTGGGTGAATAACCTTCCTAAGTTAGCTGCCAGTACTAGAACCTTCCAGAAGGAATTTTAATTAGTATGCTGCATTTGAAGCACTTTGACATGTATATTTTAAGTGACAGTTTTAACAGTAAAACTGTGTTAAACTAATCACTGTGAAACTTGAAGGTGTGATGCTCTGTACATTTTAGGAAGCCTAAGTAAAGTTCTGATTTTTCCTTTGTTAATTATGTAACCCAGGTGATTTGCATATTTTACTTTTCATCTTTGACAATGGCACAGATGACTGACATTTTGGCAGGCAGTTACATTAGGGTATATGGTAAATCATGGTTGTGTAGCTTTTCCAGAGAAAGTGGCAACATGTTAACTTCTTCCTTGTGTGGAACCATGGGAGTGGGATTTATTGGCTAATTCACTGCAGGGTTTTTACAGTGCAAAATAAACGTCCACATGCTGGTAATATGCTTTGCTCTTTAATAAACAAATGTGCAAGAGATAGTAATCTAGCTGATTTTTGGGGGGGTTTGTTTTTAAGCAGGGACCCACTCTTTAGTCAGATCTTAAATGAGCTAATATTTAGGGAAGCAAAAGATGTTCTGCCATCTGTAGCCCTCTCAACAGGTGGCCTGCATGAGGAAGTTGTGTTATATTTGGTCAGAAAGGCCAGGGTCCCAGAATTGGAAAATGGTACATGGACTGATTTTAGAGTATTTTAACAAGGGCTTATCTCTATAGGAAAGTCGTTTGGACATAACAGAAGGATTGTCTGGTCTTCTACAGACCCATTCACATTGTTTTACTCTTCACAGAATCATTTTTAGAAAGGTAGGCTAAATCAGAGTGGTGCTGTTTTTAAAGCTTGTGAATTGGATCATGGCCATATGGTACCTAATGCTACGTGGAACTTAGAGACAGTATTCAAGATACCAGGAGTGGGGAAGCCTGGCTGGCTCAGTCTGTAGAGTGTGTGACTCTTGTTCTCAAGGTTGTGTGTTCGAGCCCCATGTTCGG